GCTATGCAGTGTTTCCAATATAATCCCTATTAAAATTACTGCTTTTTTAATTGCAACTAGTTCTATTATTGTGCTGTCAATACTGCTTTCCAATTCGACTTATTAGAGTAGATAGACAGTAGTATAGGCTTTTTGTAATATACTGCTACCCTGACTCCTACTTAGCTATTAGCAACAGAGCTATTAGCAAAGATGTTCAGATGCTGATCCTTTATCCTAAAGTAGTTTTTATATATTTTATTGAAGTTATAATAATTAGGTTTATAAATAACTGCTATTATGCTCTACAATAGGGCTACCTATATTAGGATAGTTTCTTTATCCATCTTTATTTTTCCTAGCTGTATTTTTATATTATAAAGAGGAGAAGTGAACAATTTTGCTCTAAGCTTCTTAACTAGTTTTCTAAGCTGTACCTTTAATAAGTTAGTTTCTAGCAATATATAGAGTCCTACCTAGAATTTGCTAATCTTCAGTTTCAGCTAAATGTATAGAAGGGGAAGCAAAGCTTTAGTACTAAACGCTTTAGCTAAAGTTGTATAAAAGCATTTGACAATTGCTTAGGCTTCTATTCTTTATATAGAATTAAGAATCTTAGCTATATTGTTATTAATCTTTTCTTTAAAGGACTTAGAATATTACGCTATAGCTATATAGTCTATTTTAGAAACTATTATAGCTTAATATAGCTATTTTGCTAATTATAGGCTAATATAAAAGAAGCATTTAAGTTAGCTAGCATTTTTCCATCTCTTTATTTTAATTTTAGCTAAGTGATTCTTAAACCTCAGCTTAGCATTAAAGATAACTCCTAGGATTCTTTCTTTTATAGAAGGTTTAACAATGTAGTTGCTTACTCTTAATAGAGAGTTAGAATTGCTAATCTTTTTATAATTTTATATAAAATGTATAAAGATTATCTTATTACTTTTGAATATAGCGCTATTGTCTTTTGCCTATTAGAGAGCCTTTAAAATAACTTTATTATTAAATACTGATATATTTCTTTCTATTAATTCTGAAATAGCTTATTAAATATAGTTATTTATAAACCCTATATTACCTTATTTTCTATTAATCTTTTCTTTTATTAGGCATGCATTAAAAAAGATATATAGAATTAGAGCAAGTATTGATTTTTATAAAAGGCCAGATTCTGTAAATGTGACTTTATTTGATTCTGTGCTGTTAATTAATACTTTTACTAGTCAATCTATATAGAAGGAGTTAACCTATATTACTACGCAGGTTGGGATCCCTTTTATACATAGCTAACTAATAAGCATCTATTAAGAAACGCTATTATATGCTCCCTTTATATTAAAATTAATAAAAGAAAGGATTTTCTTTTACTACTATACTTTAAAGATTTTCTTAATTAGAAGGAGCAGCGCTTAATTATATAAGCGTCTTAGCTTAATGCTAAATTATATTTTTTAAAAGGAGATTAAGCGTCTTAGCCTAATATAATATTCTCTTTACTAATATAAGTTCTATTAATTTGCTTAGAATAGCTAAAAGGGAGATAGAGCAGTATACTTTTACTATATAGTAGTCTAGTTTTCCTAGCTTTTATAATAGCAATATTTATACTATCTTTTATATAGTTAGTACATATCCTAATTAATATAACGCATTAAAGATATTAGTAACTTAGTTATTTAAAATAAATTATAAGCGTTTTTATATAATATTTAGAATACTGTTTATACCTAGTGCTTTATATAAGCTAATCTTAGCTATTGCTCTAGTTACTTCTTTAATAGAGATGTCCAGGTTCTCTATATGTTTTATATTAGGGTTTAGCGCGTTCTTTTTCCATTTTTAAAAAATTAGTAAGAAAAAGTATTAAAGTAGTTTATTTGCTTTAGCCTTGTCTCCTTTAAGCTCCACTTCTTAACCTTCAGTATTAGTAACTATAATAGGGATATTGCTAAATACTGATAGTTATAAATCAAAATATTAGGCTGCTTTTCAGATATTATTAGTCTATATTAGGAATTTATTCCAATATAGTTATTTTTTGTTGTAAATGCCTTTATAGAATTAGTATTTAGCTTACTTAGCTTTATAGCAGCTTTCTTTACTATTTAGTCTTATAGTTTATAACGCATTGCTCTAATTTAAGCATTAAGTATATTTATTATATAGCTTTGTAAGCTTATTATTCTATTATGCTTTTATATATAGGGATTCTTTTACTATAGAGCTATAGTTACAGATATATTAGCTTATAATGTTGTGAATCTCTATAATTACCTAATTAAGCTTAGTAGTATTATTAATATTAATAATTAACAGTCTCTATTCTTTAAGCGCCTTAATAGCTATATTCTAATTTGTTTTTCTGAAATTGTATTTAATTCCTTATAGTATATTCTAATTTGTTTTTCTGAAATTGTATTTAATTCCTTATAGTATAGTTATTTTAACTTTGTTAATTCGAAGTATTATAGCTTTATAGTCTAACCTATATTAAGTTAAATGGATGCTACACTTTACAACCTAGTTTTCCATTAAATTAGATACTAATATAAGATTGATAATAGTTCTAAATTGTCTTTATAGGAATGTAATTGTATTATTTAATAAAGCTAAGAAAATATTATATTATTGCATTTATTAAAGCATTAATTTACCTTCTCCTTTATATTATAACTATAGTATATTAATTCCTCTCTATATTAGATTATAATAATTAAAATCATTTCTAGTTACAATATAGAGGTTCTCTTTATATTTAGCTTTTACTTTTTAAATTGCTTTGCTTAGGGCATTAAGCCTAGTAATGGCTGTCTCTTCTAAGTTCTGCTTAGAAAGCATATATTAGCTATAGCTTAAAATATAGATTAACGCTATGAAAATATGTTTTATTAATATAGTGATAACTCCTATTGTTATATTAGGCAACATTGTATAAATCTAAATAAATAAAATATCTTTATAAATATAAAATGCTAATTAAAATACGTAATGCGTTAGTCTTTCTTAGTATATAGATAGTATTATAGTAACCTAATACTAGTGTTGCGAAATGTATAGTTTACTCTTAATACTAGTAATGCTTAGTTCTATAATTATAATTGCTATAGACTGGCTAATAGACTGGTTGTTAATAAGGCTAAGCTGGACTAGGGATTGTCTATTTACATTTATTAGAAGGAAGCAGGTGTCCCCTATTATATATTGCTTATAGTGACTTCCTATCTAGTATGTTAGCTTGTAACTATCTGCTAGTCCTCTTCCCTTATTTTAATAGGCTAGTTAAAAAGTTAGTTTCCGCTTTAAATTCTACTAATCTCTTTTTAATATACTGCGCATTTAGAGTCTATTATAATATATAGTCCCTTATATGCTGCATATTTTAGTATTATAGCTATACAGTTATTAGTTTTATAGCTATTTGCGTATTTTTTATACTTTATAAATTAGCTATATCTAGCCTAGTAGTAGCCATATTTATTGCAGTTATAGCATCTCTAGGGGCGTTAGCGTTTCTTATACTTACTTACCTATACTATATTGTCTCTAATCTTGACTTATTATTTAGTAAAGGCTTATTAGGCATTTTTAGCTATAGTAAGATAAATTACTATAAACTTTGCTAATTTTCTTTTTTAATAACTAGAACGCTTTAATAATATTTATAAACTTATTCTCTATTATAAATGCTGCTATAGCTTCTAAGCTGATTTTCCTTATGCCTAGTTTAAGAACTGCTGTTCTAAGTATATTGTCCATTTTAATTAGGAAGAGGTCCTCTTTACAGGTTTAGGCTATTTTAAATATTTAATAAACCTATTTATTATTTAGCTGTAGCTAGGCTATATCTTTTTTATTTTAAATAATAACTTTTAATATTCTTATTCTTATTTGGATTCCTTTAATATTAATTATGCTTATTAATAGCTAGGCTGTAATTGCCTCTCTGATTTTCTTTATTATAGCTGTACTATCTATTATAAATTTACATTATTTAGTTAGCACTCTGCTAATATTAATTGTAATTTCTAAAAGTTGCTATAGCTTTTCTAAAAAGATGGGTAGTATTATTGCTATAGTATTACTACATTGAGGCTATATAGCTAATAATAATAGGTTAATTAAGCTTAATGCTGCTAAAGCATAGGAGATTAGTAAGGAAGCTGCTGTATTAGAGTTAGCTAAGGATGTTAAGCTTGTTTGTTTAAAAATCAAAAGAACTGTCTTCCCTTTATTAACATTGGATTTAATAGATTGGACCTCAATGTCTAGGGCTTTAATATTAGCATTAATGTTTTTAATGTCTATGTTTATGTTATTAAGCTTCTTCTTAAGCTTCTTATTTTTCCTTATAATAATATTAAATATTACTATTATTGCAATATTCTTTTAATAAAGGGCTTCTATTTAATCTTAAAGTTGCTTATTCTGAGACTGGAATAGTCTATTCTAGTTTTAGAGTTATTTATTCTATATATAAAATAGCTCATTCTGCTTCTAAAATTGCTTAAATAGTTTATTAAATTTGTTATTCTAAGCGTTCACTGCTTCTTTAATAAGATATTTTATTATATCTTTTATAAAAACAGTATTATTACTTAGATTAAGTGAATAAATAAGTTGAATCAGCTCTCTATTCTATTTAGTGTTCCTAGCTCTTCTCTATATTGCTGTGGCAGTGCTTAGTTCCTTTAGGGACAACGCTAGTATAATTATAGCAACAGCGTTGCTAGAATGGTTAGGCGGGGACCTTACCCTTAATTAAAATCGACGGGAGTTAGACAGTTCGACTTGTTGAGTCGACTTGTAGATGAAACACTCAATAAACTGATAGATACCGATAAAAAAATATCGATGACCGTTTGTTGATCCTATCGATGTCGGTTTTTCCGTTTTTTCCTTCACTCCCAGGCAAGGATATTTTTGCAAGTGAAGGTAATATTATCGAAACCTGGTACATGAAACCACTCAAACAACCATTATCCATCACATGACAAACAAACAAAAAACAAATCCCAGCTCTCATGGGTTAGTGGTAAACTTTCACCTTCCCAAGCCAAGCGTTCTTCTCATGAAAGAGAGTGCGCGGATGCAGGAAGTAGGTGGAGCCCCGGGTTCGATTCCCGGTGGGAGCATACTCCTTTTCTTCGTTGTTTCCGGATTTGTGTTTTAGTGTTTATTTTTGTTTTTGTTCGCGCCTTGCTTGCTTGTCCCTTGGCTGCTCTGTGCTTGTTATTATGAGTAAATGGCATTTCATAATCATATTCAATCACAGAATCTGGTTACGAGTTTAATCCCCATTGAAAACATTTTTGCTTTTTTTAGTCTTGTTTCTAGAACTGCTTGCCCATTCATTGCTTGTTGTTATAAACGGCATTTGAATGATCATATTTACGATTTTTGGTTATGAGGTTTATTTGCATGTGAGGATTTGTTGTTTCGATGACTTGTATTATGCTGTCTGTGGTACTCGTATCTGAGACGGATTTTGGTTCAGCATGACTAGAATGGCTTTTACTGCGGAGGCAGACTTGCTTCGTTGTAGAGTGCATTGTCACTTTTAGGCTAGACGTGTTTCTCTGTATGAGATAGAAAAAAAGGTCTACCACTACCACTTCCCGCCCTTGGCCTTCTTCTTGTTGTTTTTCTTCTGCCCTCCTCCGGCCTTGACGACTTCGGCGGCGGGGGTGCCGGGTCGACTGATACTGCTGTCTCTGCTCTCGTCGACTACGCCGCCTTGAGTCAGCATGGCTTGCTTGGCCTTGGCTTTCTTGCCGCCCTTGGGACGGTAGTAACTCCTGTCCTTGATGGGCAGCCAGCGTTCAGGGTCCATCTTCTTGTTCGGGTCGAAGTCTTTGGGTGTTTTGGATGCTCTGAGCTTTTTGGACTTACTGGGAGCGGCGGGCGTGTCTGCTGCTCGCTTTGTGGATATTGGGGCTGCCGAGACTGGAGGTTTGGCTACGCCTGCGGTTTCGAGCGCTGAGATGTCCACGCTTGCGACGAGACGTTCTACGGGTGTCAGGACGGAGAGGAGGCCGTCGCTGATGGAGTCGGTCTTGGTGGAGGCTAGTGCGGCCACGAGACCAGCACTTGTGTATCTGTCTTCCTGATCCTGGCTGTGGAGTTCGGAAAAGATATCGCGGGCGTGAGCCAGGTCTTCGGGGTTGTGCGATTGAAGTAATGCTGTTCCGGCAGTCTTGTAAAGGTGTGTGAGCGAACGATCGGATATAGAGACCGATGACTCTTTCGACCTCTGCTGCCAGTACTTGGCTGCTTTTGCTAATTCTGAGCGCGCGGGGCCAGCTTGTCCTCGGGCCGAGTATAAAGACACAATTGTTGCGACCAGACCGGGAGCATGTCGTACGTCCAAGTCTGAAGAAGTTGATGATTGGGCGAGGCGGTTGAAGAAAGACTCGAGCAGTGTGATGGCGGCGCCGTGGTTTCCACCAAGCACATAGAGCTGAATAACAACGAGGAGCAGACCGACATCGGTGGGTCTCTTCTCCAATACAGGCAGAACTGCCTTGAGGGCCTCCTTTCCTGCCTGGTTCTTTGCGTGTGCTGCTGCGTTGAAAGCAGCCAAAGAGTTGATGTTGGCATCGAGGGTCGGCGAAGATTGGTTGGAGACGGCGGAAGTGGTGGATTGAATTATTCCGGAATACTTTTGTGAGAGCAGGTCCAGGGCGTAATTATTCCTGCGCATAGCGGCACTTTGATAGGTGAATGGCACATCAGGCTTGATGGTGTCGGGTGACTTGTGAATGATTCGGTGCGACAGGTAAGGGTTGGCGGGTTCTGAAGAGGCAGCGGTAGCATTGGTTTGAGCGATATGGTGTGTTGACGATTCGGTGATTCTGATTAAGTGTTAGCTGATTTACAAACAAGTCATGGACTCATCATACTCGTCGGCGTCGAACGTGGAAGCAAGAGTTCTGGCCTCTTCGAGTCTTCCTTGGCTCACAAGGACGTATATCTGCTGAACGGTGATTGGTAAGATCTCAGCATGCTTCTCGTCGTCGGAAAGATCATCAAGCGCGTTGCAGAGGTCTGCAATTGTCAGTCTTCTCTTGAGATAATTGTGAGACTTGTTTCCGCACCTTTTGATCTCCTCAGCAACACCTCGGCCTGACCGAGCTCGCCTCTCGCGATGCTTCCACATGCAGCATTGTAGGCAGTTTCGAATGCTTCGAGCTCTTCCCTTCCTGGCTTCTTGTTCTTGACGAGGTCACCCCGACCTGACCATTCCAATTGCGCGTTGACGGCGCCGTTGTTGATTCGTAGATCCATATCCTCATTGGCGACATTTCCTCCTTCTCCAGCCAGCTGAGTGAATAGAGTGGCAGCGCGCTCAAAGTCCTCATCCCTGTAACTTGCTTGCGCCTCGACGTGTCTCATGCCCCGATCTGACTGATTGCCACCGACCTTTCTTGCCACGTCGGCAGCCTGACCAGGCTTGCCTGCCTTGTACAGCGCATATGCCCATTCTAACCGTGCTCTTTCCTTCAGCTGGTCTCCACCGTGTTCTAGAGTGCGCAGAGCGTCGTCAAAGCGATCTAGCTTCAGCAATGCCACGACCTTGACATGCTGTGCTTCCACATCCTTTCCACTCTTGTTTAATGCTGCATTTGCTGCCTTGAGCACCTCCTCGTGGTCTTCGATGGACGATTGGCCGAGCAGTGAAGATAGTGACAGTAGCGACGCCATGCTTGTGTGATTTCTGGTATCCGACAAGTCACTTTTATTCGTTGTATTATGAGATCTTCTGTTGCGCCGACCAATAGGCCCTCTTAGTTGTCCAGATTGTGGATTTGTCACACGCGTGCAGCTGTCCTCAATTAATGATGAGCTGGCGGGGTCTGAATTTCCGCCTCAGGTCGAACGCCTTCAAGGTTCCCCACAATTGGGCCAAGCTTCGAAATTGGTGCTACGAGTCATGATCATAACATACAGATAAAAGTTCACTTCCAATGCTAGTTCCTTACGTCTATCTTCTTGATGCTGACTGACGAGGATCGACGCCACACTTAGCACTCTCTATGGCAAAATGAAGACTCTATACATTCATCCGTGCTGTTGCCCAGCCTCGACATCAATGTCTGCTGAACTTCTGCGCCTAGAGTGCTTTTGACTCAGTCCCGTAATCCAAAACAGTAGTCTGCGAGAGATTTACCTCTTAGACTCTTGCCGATAGTTGCAGAAACCCAAAAGTACCGACAACACAGAGGCAGTCGATCCGGTAACCATCGTGGCTATTGCACCTGGCGAGAGGCTAGACTGTGCAACATGGAGCTCCGTTAGATTAGCGCAAGTAGCTGCGGTCAAAGTGGCTAAAACGGCACCAACGTTAGTATCATTAGTGTCGAGAGATCTCGAAATACCAACTTACCCATGCTGGATGTAGTTGGAGAAACACTGCTTGACACGCTTCAAACAAAGCTGATCGATATGGGTCTGGTACTAAGGGTGCAGGTCTCATGGCAGAGTTATGAGGCTCATATAGCAATCTCGATGCTCTTCCGGGGATCAATTGGGACAACTCCAGGAATCAGCGATGTCTCATGTCACATCGTTGTTCGAGCTCTGCTGTTCGCGTGATGAAGCGGCACATTCAGGAATCATGTCCATGTCCTGGAAGTGGCGAGCTTGTGAGGCTAAAATGCCTGTCCTCCAGGAATCACTCTGATCATTCTAGGTAACACCGGTCACATGCTGCATGGTTGGTTGAGCTTCGTCGCGTGGAATGAAATAAAAGCTCAGACTCAGGAATCATTCTTGAGTGCAGAAGTGGTACATTGTACGACGAAGAAACCGAGGCTGGGAACGTGAGATCCCCAGATGGAGGCGGTGCAACACTTGGTGAGCAGCCATTGGCTCAGTGACCTGACAGGTTCATTCGACACTGCATACTAATCCGAATCGGCCTCTGCGCTTGTGCTTACTGCAGGAATCACTACTTCTTGGGCCAATACCATTCACGGATTCTTTGCAGATCAGCAATGACCGATAAGGCCGCAACGCCATGCGCCATGTATGATCGATTACCTAGGCCAGTGAACGTCAAGGTATTTCATGCAATTTTCCCGCAGGAATCAGCTGAAGTGGGCGTCTTGCTTCAACTCGGGGGTTGCATAGTCTGCCTGTGTATGAGTCACTTGTCATACGACATTTCTATATGAACAACTTGCTCCCATGCCTTTTCTCGAGGTGCCTCTAGTACTTCATCTCTTCCGTATCCCTGCCCCTCATGCTGTATCAGAAAGTCTTCTGGTTGCTGTCAATTACTGCCACTGACAGTACTGAATGTGAGATCCTGTAACGTGTTGATCATCATGAACAACTGACCGCTTCCAACGACATGACAACAACTAGCCCTAAAAATGTGTGGACGGTGTGGAGTGCCGCACGCCCAGATTTTAATCCTCTGGCGTCCCAAGTTGAAAAGAGGTGGGCCGAATACCAAGAGATCTGTCCATATCATTCTGTTCTCAAGAATTGGAATGGAACAAAGTCTACCCAACCTCTTATGTACCGTCTGAGGGAGAAGATGGCGAGGTACGTGTATCATGGACTCTAGATTCTAGCACTCTGCTCATATCACAGTGGTGAGGAGCGTACGTTCGATTACTTTGGCAAGACCATCCGGGTAGAGAACGTTTACGGAATGCGGAATCGTCCCTGCCCCTGTCCTTGCGCATGCCACAATCATGTCCTCAAACCCCTCTTCACGATCCGAAAAGCGCCAGATCTTCACCTGCAACTTTGTATCAGCAAACCCTCTCTCAAGACTACTCTTGCGAGAATGTTGGTGGACCTGGACTTGTTACAATGCTACCAGAACATATCACATACTCCTGGAAAACAGCATTCATCGAAGCTTGATCTCTGGGAACGGTCTGAGACAGAAGTCTATGTCAACATTTTTCCACTACTCCAGTCCCAGGCTCGCCTGAGGGAATGGACCATTCGTGCACAGGAAAGCCACAACAACTCCGCGGAACTAGAACTGCTTATACACGGATTGCTTGAAGATGCACAGCTATACCAAAGTTTCGGCTACGGTCGCCTAAGAGAGCTAGATTATCTGGATGAAACTGCCTTCGCTAAATTCCAACAGGCATCTTCCAATGCGGACTTG